TCAAATCAAGCAAAACAATTACCATGATCATGACCATTCCTAACATTGTTGGATCATTCCATATCTCTGACCTACAAAGCTTCCATATTTGCTGCCTCTACTCTTTTCCACATTTGAACAACTTATGCATTTTTCAATAACTCCATATTCTCTCTAATCCACCAGCCTGATGCATTTTACCATCATTTCCCATCATCAATCAAAACATTTTTTCCTATCATGTTGGAGATAGCAATGGGACCTTGCCTGTGTGAGTTGGTACCTGGCCTTGTGAGAAAGCTCCAAGGAACTGGGGCAAAAGTCTCAGATCAGACTGTGCCTGTGTGAATTGGTATCTGGCCTTGTGAGAAAGCCAGACATCCAGAAAAACAGTATGCAAGGTTCCCAGATGGGTTCGTGTTCTTCAGATGTAAATAAGAAAGTTATGTTGACCATGTGCTTCTCCTGCTTCTCTGTTCCCATTTTAAAGGAAAAATAACAAAGAGTTAATTTTAACTGTGCTTCCCTGTGCTAATGTAACCTTGACACATAATACTTGGCATGCTTTTTCTGACCAAATGCTCTCTGTGTAAAAGGAGTTTATAAAAAGCAATGTATACTTCATTAAAGGGGCTAGTGAACAGGACTCAGTAGTCCCCTCATCAATTCTAGCTTTGGTCACCCAGGTTCCATTAAATGGCATTACACTATCATACCACTTAAGTCAACAGAAATCTACTGAACACCTGCTAGGTTCCAAGCTCATAGCCCATGTCCTCATGGTAATATTTCCATTCTGTTATAAACTGTATATTTCTACTTCCATTAAAATTCACAGGTTGATATCTTCATACCCCAAGTGTCCAAAGGGACTGATCCTTTAACCATTCTGAGACCCCTTTGTGCTAATTTAGAACGAAGCTCACAAAGTTCCAATCACAACACATAAGATTTTGTACAAATGTAGGAAGAGAATTCTTATCAGTTCTTAATTTCATGGATTAGTACATGAAATTATCTGAATAGATCTAGCTGAAATATCATTTTATTTACAAATGCACAGCTAATTATTTTTGAAAAACTAAGAAGTATTGTAGCATTTATTGTTTCATATCAAGGGATCACAGATCATCCCCTTGCTGAAGAAAACTTAGTAAAATTATTTGGAGATATTAGGGACTGTGCTTCCAATACTACTCAAGGCTTTTCAAAGTCAAGGGACCACGTCAAGCTAGTTACATCAGTCTTAGATTTTGGAAAACACTTTAAATGAGTTTTTGGTATCAGGTGATTAGCTCTCTAGATGGAAGAAGACTTCATATAGATTGCATCATAAAGATCAATTCAACTGACATTTAACCTTGTGTCTTGGGAACAAAAAACCAGAAAAAAAGTTGTGGTCTTTAGAATAAGATCTCATGGAAAAATGATGTTCTCAAAACTAGAATAACAAGAGAGAAGTGTGTCTCTTTAGCAGACACACAGAGCAGCTGACATTGTATTTTGCCTGTGTGATCCTTGGTCTAGATGGAGAATGGTAGTTTACTTTAGAGTCATCATGTGTTTGGTGTGATGCTTGAGGAATTCCTGCATTCCTGTCTGTTATCCTAGTTTCAATTTCCATTGTCAGCAACTGAGGAATCTGTACTTCCAAGTACAGAACCTCCACACAGAAAACCCATCCAGGTGAGTCCAAGATCCCCACAGGTGTTGCAGGGATGCAACTAAGAGATGGAAGACAACATAATTTACCTAAGTTCATGGAAGAATAAATGCAGCTTGGCCCAGAACTAAGAGATGACTGGCTGTTTGCCTGCTTGTTTGATTAATTCATTGATGTTTATTTACCATGCTGGGAAGAGAAGTTATCATTGAACTTCACAAAGAGGATCACTGTTGACAGTGAAGTGATGACAGTGAAAGCCTAGTTAGAAAAGGGACTGTAAGGCTTAAAGAGAGTTCAGTGTCAGTAGAACCTGTGTCTAAGAACCTTTGTGTTCAATTCGGTAGAAACGAAAAGCAGTGAGTTACCCACGGAAGGTTAAATGTTTGTTATACTGATATAGAGCATCATCATTTTTGTTTTCTTATTATTCTCCTATACCCATATCCCACAGCGATCAGCATTTCAGAGGATGGTTCTAGTTTAGTGTTTTCCTTACTTTATTTTTGTCCTTAAAATTTAAATTATTTAGTGTAACATGTCTATATTAAGTCTGAGATTTTTGGCTTATTCAAGTGATTTGTCCATCTATAACTTTATTTATAGTTTTCCTTATGTTAATCTAAAACACATTGCTTACTTTCATGTTAAGGTCTTTATTTTTTCTGATGTTCTTGGAATATACAAGGTTGGAGTCTACTGCGTGTTCTTTAAATACACAGCAATTGATAACAGCATTTTCTTTAAAATTCAATCTTCTCCAACTGAGTTAAATACAAACTTACCATGTGTTAAATGTCAGTGTACACTTAGCTATAATTCTGGATTCACTTAACAAACAGTAGCTAGTCATCAGATATGTGACACAAAATTTAAGAAACATTTTCATTATATTCTTTTATGTCTAGGTGTGCCAATTTAAATATTAATCCATGATGACAGCATTAAATTATTTGTGTTAAATATCTTCTTTCACTTCTTTCAGTTTCTTGATGTCCTATTTAATTAAGTCTAAAAGAAATATTTTGAAATCATTCAATTTCATGTATTGTATTTTAGCATTTCTATTTTGCTTGAATTTTATTTTATTATGTATACACTTAAATATGATTAGGAATATAGAAATGTGAACAAAGTGTTAAAGATTCTGCTCATTAGGATCTTGAATCATGATGATGAGACTCACCACAACGTAGAAAATGTGTGATGCAATGTCCTCAGAATGCAGTCACAGACAGGAATCTCTTCAGTGTGAAAGGGAGGAATTGTCAGAGTGTGTGCAGAACTTCTAGAATTTGTTTTGAGAAACCCTTGCATGTTGGTTGAAACCACAAGCAAGACTGAAGTGTGCCCATTGGATTTATCCAAACAACTGAAACCTGAAATCACTGTAATAATAAAGAAAAATGCCACAGAAGGAAATAGGGCTGGGATCTCCCTCTTCTGCCATTATTCATAAAAGACCTTAGATTTTTGGTTATCTGTGTGTGGCTGATTCACCCAAATGAGAACTAGCAATAGTTTTTTTGGTTTTATCTAAAAATATTATCTCACAGACACCGAGTGTAGAATATTGGTAACCAGAGACCAAGGAAGGGAAAGCAAGAATGGGAATAGACTGATCAATGGAGAAAAAGTTACAATTAATAGGATAAATATATTTTGGTGTCTATATCACAGTAGAGTGACTATACTTAAAAATAGTGTAATGTGTATTTGAAAATAGCTAGAAGGTAGTATTTTGAATATACTCAGCCAGCACAACAAATGATAAGCATATCAGTACTACATATGCAAATCACCCTTATTTTATCACTAAAAGTGTATAAGTGTATTGTAACATAATGTGGTTCCCATAGATATGTACATATATAATAATAAAATGTCAATATACAATAAACCTAAACCTAATAAATTCTCAACAATTTAAGAAATAAGTATTCTAAACATTTATGTTAAATTTTGTGAATTTTGAAAATTTATGGTTTTTTCCTATGAGCTAGTCTGATTTTCGTAAGTTAATTCTCTGCTACAGTACCCAAATGGTGTTACTTTTGATTTTTGAGAAATTTGGTTAAGATTTTTTTCTGATTTTTTTGCTGTTTACCAATGTAATATGATTATATTTCCAATGCAACCAGCTCCTTCTTTTCCTTATGAATTCTCTGGTACTACCTGAATTCATTTTCACACTCTCTGTGTCTACATCTCTCTCTCTCTCTCTCTTTCTCTCTCTCTCTCCCCTACTCCCTTTTCTTACTAATCAGACTTCTTTTTTTTTTTGTACCTTTTCATAGTGGAGGAGATAGACCCTTGTGCCTTCCTTATGCTGAATAATCTCTCTACCACAGAGCCACTTCCCCAACCCAGTTGTTGTATTTCTTTGAACCAATGGTAGAAAATGGTCAGAGTAAAAGCTAGTCTCAAGGTTAAATGAGTATGGGAAATACACACCATGGAATTTCTGGGTCTTACATCTCTTTGGAAAAACAAATTTGATTCACACAGCTTGCCCAGATACTTTTCTGTTTTTTTCAGTGAAACTGTGTGTTAGAAAAATGTGGCATTAACATGTTCCCAGGAGACCACCATATGCAGCATATTTTCAACTGCTTTGTGTATTTGTGTGTGTGTGTGTGTGTTTGAGAGTAAGAATAGTTTTATGAGAAAGTGCACCTGTGCTCAAAATATTCCAGAATGTTACACATAGTGAAGCCAGAACATATGGAAAAGTTAAGAATAAATATGGGATGAATTTCAGTCTATCTGGACAGACAGAAACTCCATGTCTTGAAATTATAGCATCAATTAGACTCTTTATTCTCTGGCACTGTGCCCCTTCCTTGTCTTCTCGGGTTGTATCTTTAAGAGTCACTAATCTGCTGATGTTGCCTAGTGCACAATTAAGAGTCATTTTCCATGTGTTTTCTCTTTTATATATCCCATTTCCTTCAAAGTTCCTAAATTGGCTAAAAGTGAAGTAACAACTTCTTTATCTGATTATATTTGGTTTTATTTCCTTTTATTATTTCTCCCTAATTATTTTTAAGAATATTTGCACCTTATACAGGTCAATCATTGTTTTCCACAGTGCCGGCAACATGGTCATATCTAGGTTACATTCCTCAAATACAATCAAAAAGTGTTTAAAAATTTTGGATACTTTTTTTTCTTGGAAAAAAAGTTTAGTCTGGAATTCCAAATCAGAGATGGTAAAGGGAATTTCTAGAGGGAAGCAGATTCATATGCAAAACAACACATTCACACTTTGAGTGTAAAATGTTCATGGCAGTATATTAGTGTATAATGGTGTCAGGCCATTTTTTATCTTTTTAATTTTCTTAGGCACATTAACCACATGGGTCCAGAGAACAAGACACAAATAGCATTTCTGCTTCTGGGAATTTCAGAGGATCCCCAATTGCAGCCAATTCTCTTTGGATTGTTCCTGGCCATGTACCTGATCACTGTACTTGGGAATCTGCTTATCATCCTGGCCACAATCTCAGATTTCCACTTGCACATGCCAATGTACTTCTTCCTCTCCAATCTGTCTTTTGCAGACATCTGTTTAACAACCACCATAGTCCCAAAAATGCTGGTGAATATCCAGACACAGAACAAGACCATCACCTATGAAGGCTGCATCACAGAAATGATTTTCTTTATACTCTTTATAACATTAGACATCTTTCTGTTGACTATGATGGCCTATGATCGCTTTGTGGCCATCTGTCATCCCCTGCATTACAAGGTCATCATGAATCCTGGGCTCTGTGTGTTGCTGGTTCAGGTGTCCTGGATGGCTAGTATCCAGAACTCCCTGTTACAAGGCTTAATGGTGCTGCGACTGTCCTTCTGTGCTCACTTGGAAATCCCACACTTTTTCTGTGAACTTAATCAGGTAGTCCACCATGCCTGTTCAGACACCTATGTTAATGATGTGGTGATGTATGTTGCAACTTTGCTACTGGGTAGTGGTCCCTTTGCTGGCATCCTTTATTCTTATTTTAAGATATTTTCCTCCATTAATGCAATTTCCTCAGCTCAAGGGAAGTATAAGGCATTTTCAACTTGTGCATCTCATCTTTCAGTTGTCTCCTTATTTTACTGTCCAAGCTTAGGTGTTTACCTTAGTTCTGCCACAAGCAAAAACTCATACTCAGGTGCAAGAGCATCAGTGATGTACACTGTGGTGACACCCATGTTGAACCCCCTCATCTACAGCCTGAGGAATAAGGAAGTAAAGAGAGCTCTGAAAAGACTTTTTGGACAGAAATTATAAAAGTATCAATTGTGCTGAGACTGAATAAGTGGCTATGATTGCAGGACTCAAAGCCTCAGGGCCAGACTTGGATAGGTTGATCAGATTGTGGAAGTAGAGCTTGCTGATTTTATTTTTTTTCTGGAGTTTCTGGTTCTAGCTTCTTTACAAATACAAACACACAATCCCCTTCATTATGTATCAACTCTCTATGACATCAAATCATCTCCAATTTATCACTTCCCAGTTTTCTCATCACTTTTCCGTTTGAGTCAGTAATACTTGGAAATTCCCATTTATCAAATAGGACTTATTCTTAGGAATTATTTAATTTCCAATGACAAATATCACACTGAATATTTTTTCTCCTAATAAAGTTGTCCTAAGCCACATTTCTGTGGAGAAAACTTCATTTGGGAACATTGGCAATTCATAGGATTTTATATTGCAAAAATCTCTCTGTATAGCTATCCTTAACTCAAGAAGCAAAACCACTTTTTCTTTCTTATTAATGCTATGTCTTCTCTTCAACAAAATTACAGATAAGGGAAGAACAGCTTCTGCTTGGAACTGAGGGAGGTTGAGGGGGAGAGGGTGGGGGCGGGGGATGGGGGGAGAAATCACCCGACAATGTATGCACATATGAATAAATGAATAAAAAAATTGAGACTACATTTTCACTTTTGTTTCCATCATTCCTCAGTGTGTCATTGCCTTAACATCCCTTCTTAACAATGTAACTTTTATGATATTAGGGTATTTCTTAACTTACGATTAAATTTTATCATTTTTACAATTTGTGTCTGTTCCAGCTTTATGTTGTAACTATCATACTTATGGCAGAATAGAATCCCAGAGGTGTCTGTTCTTCAATCCTTTTCAGGTGGATATTTAACTACTCTGGTCATCATTATGGAAATGATGACCATATACAAATGATGAATGGAATGTGTGTTATGGAGTGAAGCACTGAGAAGGGATGGAGGTGAATGGGGTTGTAAGAGGGTAAAAATCAGTATTCTTAGTATGATGGAAATTTTGTATTTTATTTCAGATTAAAGAGTATTACTTATATATATGAATGAGGTTCATTGAGGTATTTCCCTGCATTATAATTGAATGTACTGGTCAAATCCAGTGTCCCTTAATCCAAACTCTCCATTCCCTTCCTTTATCTGGTAATCAGAGTTCTACATTCAGATCACCTTTTTCATTATATAAGATAGACAGCATGTAGTATTTTTCTTTCTGCATAATACTTATTTCCCCTAGTACAATATCCTTGAATCCAACCATGCTGTCACAAGAGTCAGGATTGCATTTTTTATGGTTGATAATATCCAGACATACATACATACATGTGCAAATATATGCATATACATGTGCATGTAAATAAATATACACATATTCATATATATATATATATACATACACATAAAGTTTATCCATTTGTCTCATGATAGGCATGCAAGGTGATTCCATACATTATCTATAATGAATTTTACAATAATTAGCATAGGAGGGCAGGTGTCTCTTGGTCTAGTGATTTCATTTCTTTATTACCAGTGTTCATATCCTAGGTGTGAAGTTGTGTCATAGTTTTGCTCATTGTATGGTTTTGGAAGCTGAGCAAGGGGTCCATGGATTTCTCAGTGTCAATTCTTAGTCTATAATTATTCACATAAAATGTTTAAGACCTGTGATAAGAGAAGATGTTCTTATGCAGCTCATGTTTTCAGCCATTTCTATTTGCTCTACATCTTAGAATTCCTTTTCACTTTCCTCCACATGATCACTACTGTCATAAATTATCTTTGTTATTCAGTTTTCCCATTGTTGTTACAAAAATGTGAAAGAAACAAGTTACAGGAGGATAGATTCATTAGGAACATGGTTTTAGAGATTTCAATACATGGTCAGCTGACTTTATTTATTCTGGGTTGTAATGAGTTACAACATTAGAGTGTGGTAGAGCACCACCGCTCATCTTCTGGTAAACAGGAAGCAGAGAGGAAAGACAAAGGAGTAGGACACAAGTTGCATCTTTCCAGGGCAGGACACAGTAACCTATTTCCTTCAGCTAGATACTATCTCTTCTTTTCACCAACTTTCATTTATGCCATGAGATTAGGAATCCATTAAAGGATTAAAGTCAATTTATTAGGTCAGAAGCCCTGTGATTCAGTCATTTCCCAAAGGCCCATTGGGGCAACCAAAAGCACATACAAGAGTCTCGCTGAATATTTAATACTCAAACTATAATTATATCCTAAAATACTTTATTCACATAAAAGTAAGTAAATAAAAGAAGGAAACATGGTTACAAAGTGTGGTGTCTTTACATCATTTTAGATATGCCGTGAACACGTAGGTATGTATGCAGCAGTCTGTAATGAAGTTTGTTTTCCGATCAATGTAAAAACTTTGGATAATGAAATAAACAGATTTGGTACAATAACAAATTTTATTTCAATGATAAGATGCTCTCTACTGCTGTGGAGAAGCTGAGGGAGATGACAGTAGGGATGGGAACTTAAAATAGAAATGTTGCTTTTATGTATGTATGTGAATTATTATGACATGAAATCTTCCCAGTTTATTTTGCCCTATTTGATTAATTATTGAGGGCATGTTCATAAAGTAAAGAAATTTTTAGATGGAGAAAACCTTTCCTAGGTTTGCACGTTAGAATTTAAAAGTGTAATGAACTTGAAAAACAGAAAGGTAAAATGAGATCATGTTATTTTATGTCTCTCTTCCTTCCTTCTCCTCTTTTTTGTCTCCCTCCTTTTCCCTCCCATTTGTTGTATTTATTAATTTCTTAGCTGAAAAAAACCTAATAATCACTTTAGATTATTTAGCAGAGTAAACAAGTGTGGTCCTTCAGAACATTTGTAGATAATGAGATATTAAAACCTGCTAAATACATATGTTGTGACACACAGATACCCAAGTGATGCTCTAAAATAACTGTGTGACATCTCTTGAGAAATAAACACGTACTCATGATTCTAAATAAAGATGTTTTAACTAAAAATGTGGATTTATACCAATGAACATCTTTTATCTACTCCATTCTCCATGAAAAAGTAAATCCCAGACTTAATGTGATCTTCCTGAAGTCATGAAGCTTGTGTGTTCTGATAATCTCATCAATAACACAGTGATGTATTTTGTGACATTTGTCCTAGATGTTTTTGCTCTTCCTAGAATTGTCTTTTCTTACTCTCAGATTTCCTTCGCCATCCTAATGATTTCATCAGCCTGGGGCAAGCACAAAGTCCTTTCCACCTGTAGGTCTCTTCTCTTGTGGGTTTCCTTTCTTTATGGCTGTGGCTGTTAGTCAGCTTTTCATGGCTGTAATAAATTACTTGACACAACCAACTTATGAATGTAGGTTTATTTTTTATTATAGTTTTAGAGGTTCCAATCCCTGATGAGTTGGTTTTATGGTCTTGGCCTGGGGTGAGACGGCATACCAGGAAGGGTTTGGAGCATGTGTTGGGTAAAGCAAATCAGTTCATAGCCAGGAAGTGAAAAATAAATAGGGAGACACTGCTGTCCCAAGATCACTTTCAAGGGAAGTCCCCCAGTGACTTAAAAGGCAATATATTAGGCCCAACTTACTAAAGGTTCTACACCATCCTAACAGTGATAAGCTGGGGACAAATTCTTTAACACATGGGTATGTAGGTGATAATTAAGATACAAACTGTAGTGATTAAAATGCAAACTGGAACCTCCCTCAGTTCTATAGGCACTTGAGGAAACTCTGGTGATCTATAGTCTTCAAAGACACTATGAGGGTCCCAGTAATGTGCACCATGTTACATATGCTGAATCTTTCCTCCTACACATTGAGGTATGGGGACATGAAAGGGTCCTGGGAAGATTCCTCAGCAGGATAGCTTCTTAATGATGGGGCAATGGCAGGACTCATGACCAAAAATGTGAGTGGCAGTGAGGATCAGAGAACCTGGACTACTTCACCCAATGCTTTGCTACTTCTGCACTTAAATATTTAAAGCCACTTTTCTTGGGTCTCCTTGTGGTGTTTTCCACAACATTCTATATTCAATCCCCATTTTCACTTTTTAACCAGTCATTTTTACTTTTTATGAACACAATCTGGCATTTCTTCAGTCATCTGCAAATTTGTTTCAAATTTGCTAATTAAGTAAAATCTTACATTCTTAACTCACACGCTATGTGGACCTCATTTCAAAATGTGACCCTGTAAACACTAAGAGGGTGTTCTTAGGTTATCTAAATTACATCAATTCAAAGCTTTCCTATATTTTTGTAAATTCACTTTCCTTTTGGTATACCCACATTTCTGTTTCTCTCCTCTTGAACAATGATAATTCCAAGTTTCTCATCTGTGTTTGCAGTTGCAATATATAGTGCATATAAGGAGTTTAATTGCAGTGAATAAATGTTAAATGGAGCCAAAATTAAATAGCAGATGGTTGTACATTGAGTATGAAAAAGAAAAATACATTTGGAGTGATTTAGGAAGGGTTTTTAAGGGAGAAAAAATATTCAAAGTCATTAATATTGAATTTGGAAACAACACATAGAAAAAGAATCCAAAGCTTCTCCTATGTTTCCCTGTGTATTGTAACTTTACTCACAGTAGTCAATATTTGGATTTACCCAGGACTCCCTTTGTTGTATGAATGGAGAAAGGAAATATGGTATATGTACAAAATGGAATGTTACACTGCCATAAAGGAGAATGAAATCTTGTCATTCACAAAGAAATGTTTTTCTGTCTGCTATTTTCCTCTTAACACAATGACATCCAATAACATCTATGTTGTTGCCAAGGACAGGAAGTCAACAATTTTACTGCTCAATCATAATGTGTCAAGTACACACTGCACAATATTATTCATTTATTGATGGATGCATAGGTGCATTCTATATTGTGACTATTGTGAATAATGTTGCAGTGTATATGAAAGTGTAGCCATTGTGTTTATCACCTTGTTCCTCATATAGGAAGTTTACTGTTACAC